AAATAATAATTCCGTCGGAATTCCGTCGGAAATTAAAAACCGTCGGATGTTTTGCCCGTCGGAAATCCGTCGGTGACACGTGTCGTCGGAAATCCGTCGGTGGCACGGGTCGTCGGAAATCCGTCGGTMAGACGGGTCGTCGGAAATCCGTCGGAGGTTCTYYCCGTCGGAAATCCGTCGGCAATATTCCGACGGATTTCCGACGGATTCCAGTTATCCCTTTTCCGTCGGAAATCCGTCAGTATTTCCGACGGATTTCCGACGGTTTTTAATTTCCGACGAGATAGAACCGYCGGACCAAAAYCGTCGGCAAGCCGTCGGAATAGGCCTTATTCCGACGGATTTCCGACGGTTTTGGCCGTCGAAAACGGCCCTGTTTTCTTGTAGTGAATGCATTATATTTAAAATCATTTTTAAAAAATAATTTTATCTAATTATACTATTCAACCGCTACAATGCTACCAATCAACCTTATATTTGAATTGTTCTTTGTAATCTAACCGTCTTCTCTAACCGCTGATTCTAACCGCTTTGTTTCAAACGATCCATTATTCAACCGCTCGTTTCAAACGGAGTCACCAATCGGACCCGATATATTATGTGTGTATACACGTTTGATAAAAATATTATCATCTATTACACTTTTCGAACTCAACTTTGACAACTCTCAACATTATGGTCAACACAATTGTTAGCATACTTGTCGAGGTCACTTTCCATGACTTTCTTCCACCTTCTTCTAAATTTTTTTTCTTACTTAAAGACACAAAAATCAACGAAATTGTGAACATAATAAAAGTTTAAAACTAAGACTCACTAGAAGAGATTACTAACGAATCTTTACATCGTCTTCATCAGCTCCTATCATTTTTTTTTAAACTAAGACTCACTCTAAATAAGCCATCTCCATCTGCATTGATGTGGCATTGTGGTACTCAACTTGCCGTCACCACCACACGTCAAGCTACTACTTTAGTTTGTGCAAACTTCTTACACCTAGAAAAATTGGTAAATTGTGCATCCATATCAATTTTTGTTGAGTATATGTCATTTCATCCAACCAAAAAACATATGAACTAATTCATTTTATAATTACTTATCGAAGACATGAAGATCAAATTCTTTTTGGTTGAAATATATTATTTTTATAATAAGAGACATATCATTAACATACTATTTTTATAATAAGAGAAATATACTATTTTTATATTAAAAGAATTAAAATTAAAACTCACTAGAAGAGATTAGAGCATCATTAACGGTGATCTTTCTAAGAGTGTCTTACACTAAAAATGATTAAAAAATCATTTAATTTAGTGAACCTTTGATGAAAAGGTTCTATAGGTAGAATTTAATGAAATGGGATCTTAAGGGTGTCAAATATTTTTAATATTAAAAAATTACTTAAAAACTTTTAATGGTGTTAAGGTTAATGATGGTTTTACCGACGAAGCTTTACATCGTCTTCATCATCTACTATCATTAACTTTTTTTTTTTCTAGACTAAGACTCACTCTAAATAAGCCATCTCCATCTGCATTGATGTGGCATTGTGGTACTCAACTTGCCGTCACCACCATACATCAACAAGCTACTAGTATTGCTTGTGTAAACTTCTTACACCTAGAAAATTGGTAAATTGTGCATCCAAATCAAATTTTGTTAAGTAGATGTCATTTTATCGAACCAAGAAACATATGGACTAATTCATTGTAATTACTTGGACATGAAAACCAACTTCTTTTTTGGTTTAAATTTATTTTTTATTTATCAACAAAAAGCTTATTTACTAATTATCTAATTATTCTACAATTAATGTATGTGTCCAACATGAAAAAACAGTAAAAAAAATAACAAAGACACTACTTTATATTTATGCAGACAAATTTTCATTTTATTGTATGTACGCGTTATGCATAGCGTAGGTGGTTTGAATATTATCACTGCTAATAAATGCGACCGTCGCGACTGCTGAAGTGGCGGTTAAACGCTCGGTGGCCGGTACGATTTTGATATAATCTCCCATTTAATTGGAAAATTTATGAAAAACTCAATTTTGTTAACTTTTTATGTTTGAAAATTTTTATTATATGAGAGCATTTTCAATAGGATATTTCATTGAGATATCCACATTAAAATAATACTAAAAACATAGAAAAGAAGAGAGAGAATGAGATATCCATAGCAAGAATCTCTCAGATGAGATACCTATGACAAATTTATATCATACTTGTCATTATTTTATTAGTTCAATTTTCTTTTTCTAACATTAATTTTAATATCAGATAGATGATATATAAGTTTGAAGCGTAAACTACACAAAAGAACGTTTTTTTGAAGATTTGTGTTAAAAATGTTGGCGGCTGCAAAATGTATATAACTAAATGTTCAATTTTTATAACAGTAATATTCAATTTTTTGAAATTTATTCATCAAAATCTTAGAACCATATCGATACATCGCATCACATAAACTATATTACAAAACGATATAAAAATCATCTTAATCAATCACCATGCATTATTGAACACATATCAATCTCCTCCACGGGTTGCTCTAAACCATCCCAAGAAAGGAGCAAAACCCTTCTTTAATTTCGACTTCTTAACCGAAAAATCTCTCTCTAAAAATTTCTCATTCTTTTTCTTCTCATCTTTGTCGACCTCAACGCTTGACATCACACGTGTAAGCAGAGGAGAGCTTGCGAACGTCACGAGTCTCCTCTTATCTAACTCATCTGTTGTTGCAACCTCTTCTCCAACATCTTTGGTCGTTTGATGTTGTTCCACGAACTTGAGTTCCTCGATTTCCGGATTGTCTAGGAGACTTGATCTTATACTGTTGAGTCGTTGGATCTCTTTCCTCTCATGTTCGAGTTCATGTCTAAGGGTTTTGATTCGGTTGGCGAGGACGGTGTTTAGTTGTAGGGTTCTTGTAAGAGTTTGTTTTGTGTGCTCGAGCTCGAGTGTTAGGGATTGTATTCTTGATTGAGGACTCGGAATATAAATTGTTTTCTTTGTCTGAATCTGAAACCATCAAGTACATGATGTAATGTAAGAGTTAAAACTATACGTGGTTGCATGCAATGGAAATCAGTTTATGGATGTGTTAAACTGTTAAGACAAATATGGTTTCTTAGGTCATATATAGTTATTTCATTATTTTTTTTGGTCGATCACACATTTAAATTAAAATTCCTGATTAGAAAATAGTTTTACAAAAGAACCAACAACATTCCTTATTCAAGAGCTAGGGGCAAACAATCTTCCTAAAATTAAGGTAATTAATGTTGAATCAAAATGAGAGAAAACTTTGAAAACACCTAAAATAAAACTCATCTAAAAGATTTGAAGTATTTTGTGACCCTTCAAATAAATTTTAAACATAGTAATTGTTTTAGCGGTGCATATCTAAAAGTTGTAGTTTTTTCATCTTTTTTGTTTTGGGATTCAATCTATATATACAAAAAAAAAATCATTTATTTTAGCGGTGTATATGTAGTTAATGCTCTATCTGTTTGTAAAATATAAGGTGGTTAAGGTTTTTGCATTCCAATTAAGAAATGATTAAATTTTTCTTATTTTTAAAAATAAATCGTCAATTTTTATCTACCCAAAATATTTCACCTAATAGAAAACAAATATGCAGAATTCAAAAAGTCAAAAACAC